TTGATATAAAATTCATTATGTCTTCTATTTGAAATTATAATGGTATCCTTCTGACAAAATATTATTTCCAACCGTGTAAATAGTATATAAAAAGTTTCTAGAGAATCAGTTTTCGATCTAGGGAGAAGGTCATGAAGCTTCCTCTCCCCCTCATGTTTAGTCATCCCTTAAGAAAAAAAACAAAAAAAAAACAGGAAAATTTTTTTTTCTATTATAGAAGGAGTTGGTACGAAATGTTGTTGTCATATGGAAAGGGTAGTAAGCGAAAAATGACAAGTGATACCATGGGAAGATTGAAAAATGTCATATGTGAACAATCTCTATTAAATTTAAATTATTAGAATTAGAATCATTTAAAATCATTTTTGTTTTGTTGATTTCAAAACTTTTCATTTACATCGATTTGATGCAAAAACTAAAAATTAATTCTTTATTTTTTAGACAAATGCGTCCAATTGATTCTATGCTGATAACAAATAGAAATGAAGTAAATATATATTTTTTCTTTTGATTTTAATTTATGTTTCTTTTTTTTGTGAAAATAAAAATAAAAATTATTTTAGTCATCAAATTTAATTATTGAAAATGTAAACCAAACAAAATCTTCAACTAATATTATTAATCAATCATCTCGTCGATCAAGTCAATCAACAACAACAAATACAGATGATGATCAATATGAAGTTGTTAATCAATTAATATCAACTAATAATCAAATATCAAATGAAATAAAAGCCATATCAAGTCCTGAAATGGTTTCATCAGCAACATCACTTTCAACTCAACCATCATCATCATCATCAAGTGATGAAGAAGAACCTCCTCAAGAACAAACAATATTAAATGTTGAAAATTCAAATTCATCAATAACTCAAGAATCTGGTCGATTTGAAACTGTTGAAATGACAGCTGAACAAGCAACTTTATTAGAAGAAGCCAGTAAAACTATTTGATTTTCTATTTATTCCAGTAATTATCTGCATATTTATGTACATTGCTATAGTTTTCCTTCTTTTTTTTTCTTGTTTCGTCTCTAAATATGTAATTTTCAATAATTCATTTTGGTTGGTTTTTTTCTTTTTTGCTATGGTCTAATGTTAAATAAGCAATGAATGAAAGAGTGAAGATTTGTTTTGTACTTCAAAATATCCGTATCAATTTTGTGATATATTTTTTTCTTTTTGCTTCTTATTTCTCAATATATTTGTGATTATAATTTTATTTCAAAAAGAGTGAAAATTACTCGTTAAAAAAAATTCTTTTGAATCAAGGTAAAAATCTTCTTATCTTATGAATTTTAACTTCAAAATAAAGTTTATTCTTATCAGAAGAGAATATAAATAAGTTTGTTACTGTTTTTATAATAGTCATAAGAAGAAAACGAAAAAATTGTTATAGTCATCATGTCGACATCATTTAATATAATTGATACTGCTAATTGTCGTTTTGAAGAACTTTTTAATGCTGATAAACTTGATGAATTAGTTAATCTTTTTACATTAGGATGTGGGGTGTGGTGTGGGTGTAGGTGTAGGTGTCAGTTATGTCACCTTAGCCAGATCCAGTCACACCCATGTCCATACCCACACTTACACCCACACCCACCACACCCTTCCTTTGAATATGCATCAATTTATACAAAATTGTCGAGTTATTTTTCAATGTTTTTTATTCAAATGCGTCTGTAGCTTCTACGAACTATTTGTATATTTTTGTTATTTCTAACGAAGAAACAAGATGAGAAATTTCTATGAAACTTTTGTTGGATTGATGCATCGAAAACAAAATCAATGCAAACCTTTTGTTCTACTTGTTAGTTGATATTAACTTTATTAGTGATGCTTATTTATGATGCATCATTATGTGGAGAAACAACCTTAAGTTTAAACTACTTATAAACTGCTTCATCCGACTGCAAGCGACTATGAAACAGGGTATGGGTGTCAGTGTCAATGTCGGCGTACTGTATGTGAAGATAATACACATTCATACCCACACCCGAACAAGTCAAAGCAACAAGCTAAATTGTTAATAATTTCATGTTAAAGTTCAGATGAGATTTGTAAAAAAAAAATTACTTTTTACTTGACAAATCGGATTAATTCATAGATTGAATAGAAGTGTATTGAACAAATCAAGATCAATCAGTTATTACTATTTATCGCTTAGTGAACTAGTGAATTTTCAATAAATCGTACAATGAAAGAGTTTATCGAGAATTCTTTATTATGGACAAATAATTGATAAATACAAAATACAAAGTATTATATAGATGTATTCATCATACTGAATTATTTTAATTTAATATCTATTGTTAAGATATTTTTCTATTTCAATTCGAACATATTTATTTTCTTTTATTTTTCTTAACATTCGATAGTCGATAAATTTTATTATGGCATTATTTTAATTAAAATTAACAGAATAAACTAATTAGAGAATCGATTAGTTTTTCTTAATATGATAACAAGTCAATTTTCCTTCTGTTGAAAGTTCTCTATCTCGAAGATATTTTGTTCGAAACATATACATTTTTCTATGAAAGTTATTTTAATTGAGGTCTCTACATGTGTGAAATAGGGAAAATCGAAATATTTCGAAAATTTAAGGACCTTCAAGAACATTTGTGAATATAGGATTCTCTTAGAAAATTACAATTTGAGTTTTTTGTTTTCCTTATTTATAATTTAAATGCAAACAAGGAAACAAAATTAAACAGGTCTTTATAAATAAATGTATCTGAATTTAGTTCGATTTCTTAAATGTTCGTTTATTTCTATTTTCAAAATGTTTTGAGAAACTTTCATTTTTAAATGACGAATATGATTGAATTTCACTTTGATCATAATTATCAACATGTAAAGCTTCTGATTTTCGTTTAAGTGATTGAATTGAATATTTATTTTTCCGTTGTTTTTGATTATCTATTGATAAGGATGTTGATGCTTTTGTTTGATTTTTAACTGGTGGAATTTGATAATTCTTACAATGACCAATTAAATCAGTTATTGATCTGCTTGTCCTTATAAATGCTTGTTTAGCAGATTGATTCAATCGATATATGGGTGATGTAAAATAATTCGGATAGAATATTTTTGAATATTGAATTTTAAACGATGTTAGGGCTTCTATTGCATTAGTTACAGATGTAGAATTACCCATATTAATAGTTGGTAGTACGGATTCTATGCCAACAATTATAGATTGAATAATATTATGAAATTTTAATAATCGTAGTTCATTCATAAAATGCAATAAATCTCTTGAATTAATAAAGAACTACAAGAAAAAAATAATAATTATTATTATAGAAATGAAATTTATGTTTAAATTTTATTTACTCGCTTAAATAATTCAATAGTTTTTCGACTATTGTTACCAAATGCTTTTGTATTTGTTTCATGATAGTGCTCAAATGCAGATTGAGAATTCGAATGAGATGATTTTGTTCTTCCATATTCAATTGATTTAATAGGTGAACTTTTATTAAATTTATTGTACTCATCAACAAGTATATAACAGTGAGCGCATAAAAGCTAAGCAAAAAAATCTCTTGAAAATCGTTGCAAAACAGATAAATATATTTCATAAGTGTATATTAAATAAAAAAAACCTAAATTTCGTTGTACGTATCTAAAGAAAATGAGTAAATGTATGTGCGAACAGCAAATGATAAGCTCGTCAACTATCATCAATCTTAAATTTTAGATAATAATTAAATTAGTTCAAGCAGTTTCTCATTTTTACTAGGGAGTGATCATCGGCGGGTCACCGGTTGGCAATTCCTACCAATTGCCAAACGTAAAAATATAATTATTGAAACAGTTTAATATAAAATACACTTTCCTATAACCATTGGTGGATCACCATATAGTAGAGTCCACCGGGACAAACTTTTCTTCTGTCACATTCTCAAATTTTCATAAGCGCGTCGATTCAGAGGACTCACTCTGACTTGTTTTTGTTTTTTTTTGACGACTCCTGTCCGTTTCGGTATCCAAAACAAATATAAACATATGGTTGTGTGAGTAACCAGTCGTTTAGACGCGGATAAAAATTAATAACTTCTTTTTTATTAAACGTAATATGTAAAAAACTAAAAGAAATACATCATTCGAACCGTGAAACAGACAGAAAAAGAAAACAATAGTGATATTTCAAACGATTATCTATGTTGAGCAGCACCATATACAAAAATTAAGTTCTCATATGAAGCGAAAATGATTAGAAAAAAGAATTGTAAAATATGTATAAATAATTTTTTACCTATTTTTTTTCTCCTTTTTCATATGAAAAGTTATTTATTCACAATGAAAGAAATGTAGTTGTAATTGTAGAACATGTTGCAGATAAAGATTAATAAAGTTCAAGACAGCATTTTTTTTTCAAGTCCTAATTCCGACTTCTGTGTGCGAAATTTTTTTCTCTTAAAGTCCCGATCTCGACTGTTCTGTATAGAAAATTCTGGGAATAATTCTACTTTTGCTAGGGGACAGAAGAAACGGGATTTAGGTCTATTTCGCAAGACTCTACAATATATTAATTGGTGGTAATTGTCACAGCTCGATTGAAGATGCTGACCCGCCTCTGGGGATGATCCTTTATCTTTAGAAAATAAAGATAAAAGAATCATTTATTTTTATTAAATAAAGAAAAAATCAAATAATGAACAATTATTGTTTTTCGAACGAGATAGAACTAACAGTAATCGAGAATAATCGAAATCACTTTGAAGAATACTTTTTAGAATTGAACGAATTTGTTTCGACAAAAATGAAGTTTCGAACGCACAAAACAAATTGCAGATTTATGATTAACATTTAATCGATTTTAGTTAGAAAAATAGAGTTTCAATTAAAACTAATATCATATTTTTAATCAGCATGAAAAAATTAAGCAAATCTATGAATATTTCGAATTCTTTTTAGATATGTCGAGTTTTATAGAAAAATTTGCACTGATACCGCTCAGGATTCTGAAGACAAAAAAGTAGATATTAGTAGAAATGGAATTCGACAAACACCAACATGTTCTACAATTGTAAAAATATCTAAGAATGATTCAAAACATTTATTAATTGAATTTGTATTTTTCTAACTAAAATCCACTAAACATTCATGAGCAGCTTAGAATTTTTTTTTGTGCGTTCGAGACTTTATTTCTGACAAAAAAACAGATTCATTCGACAATAAAACTGTTGTTCAGAGTGAATTTTATTATCCTTGAACAGTTTTATCCTAATTTCATTCGAGAAAGAATAATTGTTAATTCGTTTATTTTTAAAAGATAAAGGATTGATTTATCTTTATTTTTTTTTAATGGAACACTAATCATTAAGAATCTTGTGATAATAGTTCAATGAAACATATTCTATTATTATGTTATTGTTAAATATTTAAATACCTTTAAGTTTCGATAAAATTCAGTAAATGATTGATGAATCATTGAATAAATTGGAATATGATCAAATTTATCTTTTTCTTGTGTGAAAAGTTTAATTAAAAATTCACAACTAACAGAAATAATATTAATACAATTCAAATGTAATATAATATCACATTGTTTAATTGATTGAATATCTTTGTTTAATTGTTTAATTAATTGTTTTATTGCAGGAATTGTTAAATGTGAATATCCATGAATAATACATATATTCTCAAATAATTTAATCAAAATTTCATTATAACTGTTTTGACTCATTAATTTTTCAGTACTTTTCATAATAGAATTAATCGAATTTATAAATGAATATTCTAAACATAAAGTTAGATGACAAAAAGAAAAAGACAATTAATCGATGCATTATTACCATATAATGAACTAGAGAAAATATAATTTTAAATTTTTTGATTTCAAAAAAAAATAAATCTTTTACTTATTAGTTTGATCTGAATGAATATCTTGTTTATTTTCATTGACATGTTCATGTTCGATTGATGTTGTGAATAAATCAGTTCTTGTTTGTAGAGATGTTCTAATATATATAAACTATCTTAAAAAAAAAACGATGTTATTCAACGATGTGATTACATTTCTTTTACGATTGATGAAGTTGTCGTTGTATATTTTTTTTCACTTTCCATCATAGTTTTTCTTATCATATCATTATTAGTAACTTTAAAAAAGAAAGATAAATAGACAAAATCAAATGAAATGCGAACCTTCATGAATGCAAACATATATAATTGTACTTGAACAATTCAAACCATTCTTCTGAATGTATTCAAAAAATGTTTCATATTGATTAACATCTAATGGTTGCAATTGAAAATTGTATAATAATGTTTCATGTTCAGTATCTATTTTTGATTCATAAAGCAAAACAAAATGATTTATTAAATAATCAAGATTTATTTTTGCAAAAATAACCTCCTAATTTGAATATGTTGAGAATATGAAGATAAACATCATTTAAAGTTATATCTTTATTATACCAATCACATAAACGAGAACCACCACCATTTTCAAGATCAAGCTTTTTTATTTTACCATCTTTGGTTCGCATCAAAAGGCCACAACGAAATTTTTTATGCATTATTTAGAATTATCTAAACATTTAATAATTTTTCATAAGAAACATAAATATGTTCCAATTAATATATAACTTCGAATTGGTATATTACAAAACAACGAACGAATAATCTTCTATGATCAAATGAATGAATGGATGTGAATGAGTTATCAACCAATGCTAATTGTACTAGAATAGGTGACATCTACCGTGTAATAACTCTACAAGTCAAATATTCGAAATTTAAGAAAATCAAGTAGAATTCTGTACACGAGACTCTCGATACCGTATCTTACTATAGGTTAAAACGTTTAAATATACTAAAGTTTAATACTATTGATAGGCACAGTAATATTCAATAGAATTCATTTATTTTTCAATAAGACAAAAAAAAACTACTAATATGAATATTACTCGCTTATAATGATATTTTATACCAGTATTTTAAATAGGAATCTGAAATAGAATGTATAAATACACTGTGTTTTTTTTTGAGGATCATGTATTTGTAGAATTTGTTTTGGAGAACAATCTGTATACGAAGGTAAAAAACTACTCTCTAACTATTTAAGAAAAATTTTATTAAAAATATAATTTTTAACTAATCTCTCACGTTTATTAGCACATGTATATTTCTAATTTACAAAAAGTAAAGATGTCTTAACATATTCGACTCGATATGAGCCACTGGTGGCTCATGGAAAAAAATTGAATATGTTCATTGTATTTTTACCAAATGAACTAGTTTTCTTGTTGATGATAGGAAAATGTTTATCGTTTGAATAATTACTAAACACTATGTCAAGATATTATTAATTAATTCTAAGAAAAAAAAACGTTACCTATAAAGTTTGAAAAAATTATGTAGATAAAAAAAACAACTTTATATTGCAATAGATTTTGTTATACTTAAAACATATAATATTAGAAACATTGCTATACAATTTGAAATAAGCATTAGTTCAATTTGTCATCACTATTTCTACATTTATACAAGTTTAAATATCCGAAGAGACTTTAGAAATACAAATGTAATCGTATTATTTTGAAGATTGCAGAAGACTACTTTTTCTTCATAGAACCAATTATAATACCTAAACATGATGTTTATTGATATTTCTCTTTTAAATAAAAACGTTAAACATTGTTCTATCATCAAGAAGAAAACTACCTACATACGTATAAATACCTACTCAGCAGCGTAACAAACAAACAAACAAACCATAATAGTTTTTCTAGTGTATGTGTTTTTTTCCTAATGCCTCTTTCAAAAATAAGTTGACTATCACTTTATATTTGTGGCGAAAAAGCAATATACTAAATTATGTTAAGAGAGAAAATGAAAGTTACTATTGCTTTATCAAGTGACAGTAACTTTTCTCTCGTATGTAAACATGAACAATGAAGATGTCATAGGGCTTCTATTTACTTTTCTATTGAATGAGACACGTCAAGTTTTGATTTCTATAACAAGATAAATAGTTTTCAATCGTAAAAGTACGATAATTTTAGTAAAAACCATAGTGTATAATAAAAAGAGTGTGGGTGTGGTGAAAGCATAGAATATCGACACCCACACCCACACCTTTCTCTTCGCAAAGTTTCAAGTTGAAATGCGAAAATTGGTTTTTCATGTGAATCAGAGGGTACCACGGGTTTTTGATGAAAAATGTCGTAAAAACTAAATATCTCAACAGAAATAAGTTACGAGCGCGAACTCTTTTCAGGATATTCATACCTCATTAGAGTTGACATAATGTATATAGTCTTGACTCAAAAGCTATTTAGCATCTGGGAATTGCTCCTGACTTCCATGTTTTGCCGATTGTGCCCCACCCACACCCACAAATAGAGAAAGTGATGCATATTTCGAGAAATATTTCATTGATAAATAGAAAATGTTTTTCTTTTTTTTTTTTTTTTGTTAATATATATATTTATTCATTGTCATAAAGTTGCAATTTTTCAAAAAGATACTTACAAAATTTCCGAATTAGTTCTTTATCGCTGTTGTTATTATCATCATCAGTGTGATTCACGTAAACTCTTTTGACGAAGTTGTACCTTTTGTTGTGCAATGGCTCTTTTCTGTTGACGTTTTTTGCTTGGAATAGCACAGATGTTTTTACAAGCTTTAGTTGCATCTATAACTGACATTCCTTGACCGGTTTCGGGATTTCGTAATTTACCAACACATTCGATTTTACATTTAAGATCTTTATTAATTACATTATAACCACCTTGTCGTTTGTTCATCGTACGTTCATTTTGATCAGAATCATCTTCTTGACTATCTTCATCTAAGAGATTAATCTATTAGGAGAGGGTCCATGAGAAAATCGACCAAATATATCAAACACCGACATTTGAAAAAAATTTTTATTTTGAAATGAGTTTGACCATTCGAAAGAGCGTGAAAAGTTAGGCTTAGAACCAAATTTTTAGCTCTTTCTGAAAATTCCATCACGAGATATGAAGGGATCTTTGAAACCACACTCGGGTCCTCTTTTATCAATTTTTGAAAATTTTGATGAATTGCAGAGAATTCTGTTTAACATCCCGAGGACAACATATATTACTATTGAACACTCCACTTTTTTAGTATCAAATAACGCATCTCGATTAGATCTATTAACTGTATTATCATAGAACAAGAATCTTAAATAAAAATCGTGTTTAAATGGCCTCTAATGTACTGATTTTTATTCAAAAAATAGGCAAAAATAACCATTTTTTAGAAAAAAATTTTATGTTTTTGTCTTAAAAGTATATCAGAACAGTTCTCTCCCAAAATGTTTTTAGCACTAGGAGAAAGCCCATGAAAAACTGCATCTTTCTATATATGATTCAATAAAATAGCGCTTGGTAGGCATATTTAATTTTTCATCACAAATAAGATCACTACCATACTTTTCGTTAATATTTTTCTTTTTTTTTCTCTAAGTTACATCAAATTTTAGGGTAGTTTAATAAGTGAAAGCATAGATATGATTTACACTTTTCTTTTCATCATTGAAGCATAAATTAATTCTCTTAATAAAGACTATTTGAACTCAACTAATAAGTATATCCAAAGGTCATAAAATCTCACAAATACTTACATATACACTAGTCTCAATGATCATTTTGTGAAGCTGTTCAGAAATGATATTTCATTCTTAAGACAACTATATCTCAATTTATATTCATATTCTTCTTCTTGTGTTCTTTTATTGATCATGTATGTCTGAATACTTATGACAATATCAGTGCATGCCAAATTATCTGCTTTCAATAGTTAACCAGATCGAGCTTAGGTCAATATTCTCAACATGCTTTTAATATCATATTTGTGAGGGTTATTCTCAATCTATTATGGATCAATTAGTTGTGTAGTTAGTTGTATTCCTGTCACTACCCTTAAAGCAATATATAAATATACTTTCGTAATTGCGATATGTGAAATGTCAGACGCATATAAGTTACATATCCAAACAACTGCTTGCTAGTTTAGTGTGTGAGTTTTGTGTGCAGACAAGGTGCAACAAAACTAATAATTGAGAGACAATTTCAGGAAATTTTAGAACAATGATAGGCGATGAAAAGGAGATTTTATCTGACGTAAAACTGCTAATGTTTCTAAAACGTTAACGTTTAGTCATTAAGCGATGTGACTGCTTCTATGAGTTTCCTCTTTAGTTGGAAAATAGGCCTAAGTGCGACAATTTTAACTGCTAGTGTTCATTATCAAACATTTGATATATTTCATCTTGCTATCTTAATGTTTTGAACTAGTTTAACTGATTGCAAAAAATTTGCAACATCTGTCGCTTCACCTATGTGGTTTAAAAAAGAAAATACTATGTAAATTGTTTCCTTATAGATAATTTCTGCCAATTGATTCGTTCTCAAACTAATACTGAGACAGCTAAATTTAAGAGTCTAAATGTGATGTGTAATATAAATGTCTAACTTTTTAATTCTCGTTTATTCTTGCATCAACAATGATGGCTGCACAAAAAATACTGAAGCCTTGACATATAAAAAAATAACGATATGTAGAAAAAATGTAG